GGAGATGAAGAGAAGTGGACAGATTCAAGAAATATGTAAGAGGTAAAATCAATAGAATTTGGCAAATTGCTTATGAGGAAGAAGTTGTGGAAGAAGGGGATGTCAAGGACGACTTCTGGATTTTTGCTGGCACATCTGTATCATGGTTTCTAAACTAGCATCTGCCCCCAGATAATTATTATTATTTTGTGGAGTGAGATGGGGAGAGGGCTATCTTTGCAGGATATTTAGCAGCATTACTGGCCTCTACACACTCAATGCCAACAGCAACCCCAAGTCAAGAGAACCGAAAGTGCTTCCAGACATTGCCAAACCTCCCTTGGCGGAGAGTGGCAAACTTAGCCCCCAGGTGAGACTCACTGGTCTACCCGCATGCTGATGCCTTTTACCAAATCAGGGAACTCTGGAATAGAATTGTTTTAGTAGGGTGATTAGAGTTCCAAGTTATACAACATTCAGCTGCACAGACACTTAATTATCTGACACAATAATAAGTCAAAAACCCAAACCAAACCCCTTGCCATCAAGTCGATTCTGACTCATGTTGTTGTGTTGTTGTTATGTGCTGTCGAGTCAGACCCGACTCATAGTAACCCCTTCTTGGGTTTCTGAGGCGGTATCACTATGGAAGTAGATTCCCCAACTTTCCTTCTCAGGAGTGGCTGGTGGGTTTGATTCGCCAGCCTTCTGGTTAGCAGTCAAGTGCCTTAGGCACTACGCCACCAGAGCTCCCATTCCAACTCATAGCAACCCTAAAGTTAGCAGCTCTGTGGGTATCTTGGTTTTCCTCTCAAGATCACAAGATGGCTGCCACAGCTTCAAGCATCATAGCCTCCTGTAACCACTTCTAAAGCAAATTTGGAGCTGTCAGCAAGGAACAAGGATGCAACCTCTGTCACAAGGACCAAATATGAGATATTTCATTTACCCAGGATTCATGGAACACCTAGCCATGTGCCAGAAGTTCCTGGATGGCATAAACAGTTAAGTGCTCGGATCTTAACTATAAGATCAGTGGTCTGAATCACCCAGAAGCACTTCAGAAGAAAGGTCTGGTGATTTACTTCTGAAAGATCATAGGCATTAAAACCTCTCTGGAGAACAGTTTCACTCTGAAACACATGGGACTGCCATGAGTTGGCATCAACTTGATGGGAATTGGTGTAGTTGGTTTTTTAACATGTGTCAGACACTGTGTTAAGGACAAAAAGAATGCCTAAGCACCACTTTTGACTATCTCACTCTGCTGCTTCAAAATGTTCATAGGGAGAGCTACCTCCTCCCTCCTTGTCATTATTCCAAAGCCTTTGGATTTGCCAAGTGTGGTAGTTAAGTTTGTGTGTCAACTTGGCTGGGCCTGGTTGAGTGGCTGGGCAGCTGGTGGTAGTTATTCCCCATTATGAGACTGGTAATCACCTCCATGGTGGGATCTAGCACAAGCAGTTGAGTAGCTGCTTTAGGGATGTGGTCTGCTTCCAGTATATTAGAAGCAGCTTTGGCAATGGTCTCCAGCTTATGGCATGCTTGAACCCTGCACGTAGTTGAGTCGTTGTTCAGCAGCCTGCCATGTTCTGCTGATCTCAGGACTTTTAATGGACTTGAATTAATGGCCTGCCGTGTGGTTTGGTAATATTGGGATTGGGCCTTGTTACTTGTTGACCTTGGGTTTGTCAGCCTCAACAGCCAGCAGCTGAGTGAAGAAAAGCCTTCAGCTTCAGTGGATTAGGAGTAGGAGCCAGAGCTGAAGCCCAAGGTTGAGGGGCTTTGATCCAGCCCCTAGAGCCTGGCACTTTGAACTCGGACTTAAAGCCTTCAAATTGTAAGGATAAACTCCTGTTTGTTAAAGTCATCCCATTTGTGGTATATTCCTGTCAGAGCAGCACTAGGTAACCAGAACACCAAGGTACAATTCATGGCTACCTGCAGCCCTGAAGCCGTCTCGCACCTCTCCAGCTCAGAACGACTGCCCCTTCTTCTAAATTCATAGAGCACTTTTGTTCGTTTTACAAACACTCATTGAACATCTGGGCCTTGGGGATACAATTTCACTAAAAAAATTTTTGTGCTATACAGAGATAATTAAATAGCTAGCTAACTACAAGAAAGAATGAAAAGTTATGAAAGACAAAACACTATCAGAGCACCTCATCTTGTCTGGAGGTGATGGAGGAGATGGTGGCAAGAGAAGACATATTTTGGAGGAAATGTCATCTAAGTCAAAACTTGAATGAATAGAATTTAGAGAAAAGAAAACGGAGGTCAGGAGTTGAAGGAGAAGGCATGGAGGCTACCCCACCGAGAAAAATGAGCATGTGCAAAGCACCAGAAATGGGGAGAGTGAGGTGGAGGAAAGGAAAGCAGCTCAGCACCGCTGGAGAAGGGAGTGGGGAGGAAAAACAGGGAGAGATGAGTCTAGAATGATGGGTGGAGGCCAGGTCATCAGGGGTGGTAAGCTCTTGGACCCTAACACTAAGCAAATTCATTAAAGGGACTGCCATGTTGAAGTTTGCATTTTAGAAAAGACACTATTAGTCCCTTGCTCTAATTTCTTTGCCACACTTCAACCATGCCACACATAAAGATGAGCAACACTGTGGTAAATGTCTGGACCAGGATAGTGGCCATGGGCTAGGTAGTAACTGGAAGTCCAGGTTCCAATCAATATGAGGCTGAAACTGGTTAGGGAGGGGTGGAGTCACAGATAACTTCCTTACAGTTCTAGTTTGGCCAAGTGGAAGGATGGTTGGGTCCTTCACTGAGCTATCCAGCACTGGCTGGACTCACTTCTGTACAAGTTGCATTTGAGCTACATCCCACAGGGCACTGAAAACAGTGTGGTCATTAATTACCCTATTTTTTACAACTCCTCCCTTCCCCACTTCCCCTATCAAAGTCACTCACTCCCTACTTATTTCGGATCACACATTTTGCAAATAGCCTTATTCTACTCATGTGGGTTGGGGTCCACACCCACATGAACCATATACTTTTAAGATTTCATCACTGTGTCCCTTGAATGAAACACCTATATTTTCAGCACCTACTATGAGACAGGCACTGAAATCCAAGCATTGTCATCAACTATCATTAACATGGTTTTTCAACTAATATAAAATTTAAGTATCCAATCAGGCATTTAATGTCAGTGATCAATGAATTGCAGTTCACCTGAATATAAGTTTTACTCTTGCGTATGTCTTTTGTTCATTAAAGAAAATTCCCTCACCCCTTTATATTTTAAAGATTAATTTTTAAATGACGGCCCATGAACCCGCGTCAGTTCTGGATGCCTTCCACGTGATCTTTTATGTATATATACATATATATATATATATATATATATATGTATATATACATACCATTTACAATGTGCAATTTCACTACTTGAGGTTAGCAGGTACTAATTTTATAATACTGTGTAGCTACATGATCGGACTCCGAATATACTGTAGCATACGTTCTAAGTAGTACCATGCCTGGATGAAGCATCAAAGTGAGAATGGTGAACTTAAAAGGCCTTTAAAACATCTTGAAGCAGTAACAAGCCATAGATTGAAGCAGGGCGTTTTAAAACATTACACAGAACGAAAACAATTGAACCAATTTGTCCTTTGTTCTTTTTATTACATTATTACATTAATACTGTTTAAAAAGAAAATCAAAAGGCACTAAACTCTAGTACCAAGCTCTGCAAAGTCCTCGAAGCGGCCTTGCCAGGACAGAGCGCGCGTTTCCGCCTCCCTGCTTGGCGCGGTGTAAAGGCCACTGACTGAGCTCGGTCCCAGGGAAGCGACATGAAAGGTCGCCGGGCCGAGCCCTTCCGCGGGCCCCGGGTTCTCGCTCTGGGAGGGAGGATCCAGACCCAAGTTTGACAAGTTTTCAAGCAGGCCAGGCTGAGCAAACGCTACTGCTGGCTGCCGCCTGTCCACTCCAGTGGCAGGCCCAGCCCTAGAGAACTTCGCCCCGGGGGTCTCCCGGCCCGGCGTTCAAAGCAAAGCAGTCTAGGGGCGCCGCCCAGGTCGTCCCACCGCCAGGTCGGCGACCAAAGGAACCTGACGCCTCAAGGCACAAAGAAAGAGCGCCCCAACAGGATGTCTAGTGACCCTGGAAACTCCGGACGATGTTTGGTTTTAAGTCAACCCAACTGCCCTCCTGTCTTTCCCAGCCCCCACCCCGTTCCTTCTCCAGCGAATCCGTTCCACCCACTCCCTCACCGCCAGTGTCTTTTTTTCCATTTTTCTTTCTTTTTTTTTCCCCCCCCAAGAGTTGTATTTACTCGGCCCAGAAGAGGCCGCCCTGGCCCTGGGGCCCAACCCTTCCCGCCGCGCCCGCCCGGGGCCGCCCTTCCCGCCGGAGCCGGCTGATTGATGGCCGGGCCG